GAGGACAACACATACCCTCCCGGGCAGTAATTTCTCACAATGTTTATATAAAGTACTGTACTGTACTGTATTATACAAGGAAACAAATTAAGCTCCAGTAGCAAATTCTGGTTTGTTGTTTGTTGTGTGACTGCCAAAGCCCATGCAGTTACCTCCCAGTAATTAGTTCACCTAAACTGCAAATTAAATGTTAATGAGGTAGCAGTGAGGCAAGAGATGCTCTTCTGCCAAGGTTCTGAATAATATTGCAGGAAGAAAATGATAACCTTTTCTGGCAATGTCTGATTCAAAACCCTGCGGTGTCAAAAACCTTGGAGTGAGGTCATTTTAATTGTCAATTCTAAAACCAACATTTTAATGATTAAAAATAATCCCACATGTCACTAAAAACGTGACAAAACTGAATTTAACACGACTAAAATAAAAGATGAGCCAAAATTGTACCTAAAAAATTATGAGTTGACTAAAATCTGATTTTTAATTTAAAAAAATCTGACTAATGACTAATATCAAAACTAAAATCAAAATCCCTGATGGAGTTGGTCCATAAGGAAACAGGGATACTAAAAATATGATATATTATATTATATTATATCATATAATAATATATCTTCTTACTGGTCTGAGGTATGATTCGTGCTGTGAAATATTACATCCATGTCAAACAGTTTCAGTTTCCATGACTCGGAAACTTAATGCAGCTTCATTTTTAATCAGGTAACACAACAAAATCCCATTCTTGTTCATTCTAGGGAGGTATAGACCAAAATCCTGCAAATGTTTAAATTGGGGCACTATACAAATTCTTCATTATGGCACAATCCTGCTATTTGTACAGGAAATAACAACTGTATACTATAAGCAGTACTCAGCAGCAACAGCATACACACTATTATTACTATATTACTATTATTTTGATATTCCACACAGATTCAAAATTTTATACATTTAAAATCAATTTTACAAGTAATGACTCATCTGATGAAACACTGTTATGGCAGAGAGATCTGAGAAGAGAATTGGACCATGGGAAATGGTTGGCAGATTGCGAAAAATATGTGAAGGAAGAAAAGGGAGGTTTTCACAAAATGAAGGATTATTTGTGTTGAAAGTACAGAATGGAAGTCTTAACTAATATCAAAATGTGCATTTTCAGTAATTATAGTGGGTATGATTACAGCCTCCAGAATTATTTTGAGGCATTGGAAAACAGCTAAATCTCCAGATCTGGTAAATGGCAGAGACTGGAGCCAGTCTGTGCTCAGTAGATTAAAAGGTTGATTGGAAGATGGGACTTCCTCCTGGGGCCTTTTTTTGGATCGATAGAGTGCCAGTTTAGATTGCACACACAGACAAACATTTCCAGTGACTGCAGCATTTATTTTCACTTCATTGTGGCCTGAATTTCTCCCTTTCTTTCGCTCTTTTTCGTTGCCATGTAATACTTTCCGGATAGCTCACGTGGTATAGCTGGTCCACACTTCTGCTGTCACTGTCCATTACAGGCAATAAAAGCCCCATTCTGGTTATATTTGACAATGACACAAAACCTTACAACACAGTTAAACAGTAGCCTTCCCTTTGTACCATATGTGGAATCCGTAGAGGAAATGGCACATAATAATTGTGTTAATTGTGAAACAATTAAATGATGCTATGTGCAACCGCTTTGTAAACAATAGACACATATGGGTGAATTTGCATTGTGTAACTGAATCCAAAAGAATGTTGACTTTGCCAACTTGTGAGCTGTCCAAAGGCTATAAAACTATGACCTTGACCTATTTAATATGTTGTCCTACTTGGCATTTACAGATTTCCCTTACAGTTTAGTATAGGTTAATAGTTGTTAAGCATTGTTACAACCTGCTGCTGTTTGAACATCAGAGATTCAACTTCCTCACCACCACTGGGGTTCAATCCATTTCAATGGGATAGCCTGCTAAAAGGCCTTCAGTTTGAATACCTGTATAATGAGCAACATTTAATCACCAAACCAACTGAAACCACTTTCTGAAGAAATAGTTATTATGAAAGCCCTTGATAGTGTATTCTGTGACTTTTCCAGGGAAATAGGGATGCTGTTTCAACAGTTAAGCTGTAACAATTATGAAGTAATTCAACCACTTGATCTGCCCTATGTTTAACAACCATATACCCATTTGAAACTACTTACCCTTTTATCACGTACACTTGTATATGTCCTTACATTGACAGTTGCAGATATGGCAAAGATCTTCGCCCTTGAACGATTATATGTCAAAGTCATGAACTTTTATAAACATATTACATAAAGGCATATATGGAAGTATGGACAATTATGAATTCGGCCCAAACCCCTTACAATGCAGTTAACCAGTAGCCTTCACTTAGTACCATGAGTGGAATTGGTACAGGAAATGGCACATAATAATTGTGTTAATTGCATAGCAATTAAACAATGCTTTGTGCATCAACCGCTTTGTAAATAATAGACACTGATACATATGAGTTTCTTTGTGTAATATGACTGAATCCAAAATAATGTTGACTTTGCCACCGTTGTAAGCTATCCAAAGGCTAAAAAACCTGAATGATAGTTGCATAAAAAATTATTTACCCAACAAGTCGCCCTAAGGCCAAAACTTCGAGTAGAACCCAGGTCCAGTGTGTAATATTCAGGAGGCTCTATTAGGAGAAATTGAATATTTATAGGTATGTTTTCATCAGTGTAATCACCTGAAAATAAGAATCATTGTGTTTTCGTTACTTTAGAATGAGCTGTTTTTACTGCCACGGGTTGCCTCCCATGAAGTCCACCATGTTAAACTGC